TGGGCACACCGTCAACCACCCATTCCCCCTGGCATCAAGGAGGAGGTCGTCAAGCTCATCAAGTCGAAGATAGCGTCCGGCGTCTACGAACCTTCGAATTCGTCATACCAATCACGCTGGTTTTGTGTGGCGAAAAAGAACGGCTCCGTTCGCATAGTGCATGACCTCCAACAGCTTAACTCCGTCACCGTCAAGGATGCAGCATCAATGCCTTACGTAGAGCTTTTCGCAGAACAATGCGCAGGTCGCGCGATATATTCAATGATGGACTTATTCGTGGGATTCGACCACCGAGCTCTCGCCGAAGAATCTCGCGATATCACTACCTTCCAAACTCCCCTCGGGACTTATCGTCTCACTGTCCTTCCCCAAGGATGGACCGACTCCCCGGCAGTATTTCAGAATGATGTGGCATTTATCCTCCAAGCTGAGCTTGATGTCGCACCCAACTTCCAGGACGACGTGAACGTCCTCGGACCGCACACTCGTTACGAGACCTCTGACGGATCGTTTGAACTCATTCCCGAAAACGCGGGGATTAGGAAGTTTGTATGGGAGCACTGTGTAGACGTTAACAGGGTACTACATCGCCTCAAGCATGCTGGAGCTACCGTCTCAGCGAAGAAGCTCTTCCTGTGCGTCCCTGAAGTCCTTGTTGTCGGCCAACTTTGCAACTACGAAGGGCGTATACCCGACAAGACCAAGGTCTCCAAGATCTACAACTGGCCACCTTGCTCAACTCGCACGGAAGTTCGCAGCTTTCTCGGCACCGCAGGTACTGTCCGCAACTGGATAAAAGACTATGCCCGGATTGCGAGACCCCTCACGAACCTTACGCGTCTCGACACTCCATTCGTGTGGGACGCGTCAACCCAACATGCCATGGACACACTCAAGGACGCAATCATCTGTTCCCCCGCTATTCGCCCAATCGACTACTCTTCGTCACTTGAAGTCATTCTCGCCATAGATTCATCTCACATTGCGTGCGGATGGATACTGTTCCAACTTGACTCGGAAGGTCGTCGTCATCCCTCAAGGTTCGGATCCATCACCTGGAATGAACGGGAATCCCGTTATTCTCAGGCCAAGATTGAGTTGTATGGCCTTTTCCGGGCCTTGCGTGCAGCAAAGGTATGGCTTATAGGCCTTCAAACCTTCTCAGTTGAAGTGGACGCCAAATACATACGCGGAATGCTTAATAATCCTGACATTCAACCTAACGCCGCTGTTAACCGCTGGATCGCGGGAATCTCACTCTTTGACTTCACCCTCCGCCACGTCCCTGGAAACAAGCATGTCGCAGCAGATGGTCTATCTCGACGACCTCCTGCACCAGAAGACGAGAAAGACGAAGACGAGACAGCAGAAGAGGCGGATGAGTGGGTAGATGAGATACTAGGATGTGGAGTGTGGGAAGCGAAAAAGATCGATGAAGAATGGCCCATCACAACAACCTCGAACGCTTTAGTACCCAGCTCTACTCCTCCCGCACTTAACGAAATCCCCGCCACTGAAAGATCCCTGAGCTTTGACAACGACCTTCACACGATCCTAACTTATCTCAAAACACTGTCATTTCCGTCTCCCACAACCCCCAAAGATCAGTTACGTCTCATCAAGCGTGCACGACAATTCTTCGTTCAAGGACAGCGCTTATGGCGGAAGGAGCAAACAGGACGCAATCAGCTCGTTATATTCACGCCAAACCGATATCGCATTCTCTGCCAAACACACGACGAACTCGGGCACAAAGGATTCTATTCAACCCGTCGAACCATCGCCGACCGCTTTTGGTGGCCCTCACTTGACGCTGATCTCGCTTGGTACTTGAGAACTTGCCATCAGTGCCAAATTCGATCAAACGAGAAGGTTGTACTCCCTCCGACTGTTTCGATCCCGGCTCCTCTCTTCCGAAAAGCCTTCACCGACTCCATGCACATGCCAGCATCCCACGGATACTCTTACATCGTACAAGCACGATGCTCCTTAACGAACTGGCCAGAGTTCAGGATGTTGAGAAAGGAGACGGGACGCACCTTGGGTGCTTTCATTTTTGAGGAGATTTTGTGCAGATGGGGAGGACTCGAGGAAATAGTAACTGATAACGGGACGCCTTTCATTGCAGCACTCGATTGGCTCGCGCAGAAGTATCACATCCGCCATATTCGCATTTCAGCCTATAACTCGAAGGCAAACGGAGTCGTCGAAAGGTCACATCGCACCATTCGCGACTCACTCGTTAAAGCTTGTAAAGGCGACATTTCGGACTGGCCCATCTTAACTCATCACGTCTTTTGGGCTGACCGAGTTACCACTCGAAAGTCTACAGGTCATACCCCATTTTTCATGGCACATGGCATTGAGCCTCTCCTTCCCTTCGACATCACAGAGGCAACTTTTCTTCTCCCTAACATTGTGTCCCAACTTTCCTCCGATGACCTATTAGCCATACGCGCTCAACAACTGGCCAAACGAGATGACGAATTAGCGGAAATTCATAGCCGAGTACTCAAGAGTCGTTTCTCGTCAATTCGCAACTTCGAGAGCCGCTTCGCCAACACCATTCACGATTACGCGTTCAAAACCGGCGATCTCGTGTTGGTCTTGAATAAGAAAATTGAACCAGCGTCCAACGCTAAGTGCAAACCACGCTACTTTGGACCTATGATAGTTGTTTCGCGATCTCAAGGAGGCTCTTACCGTCTCGCAGAAGTTGATGGTGCCGTTTCAAGACTCAAGTTCGCAGCCTTTCGCCTCATCCCTTATCACCCTCGATCTTCAACTTCCCTCGACGTTACTCAATATATCGAGATCAAGCATCTTTCGGGCACCGTCGAAGAACTATGATCTAGCTGCGTTGTCTCATGTTTTATTACTCTCGTTTTATCAGTTCCCTTCTATCTTACTACACGCTACATTTTTTTTAGTTATATTGTTAGAGGATCGACCGAGGACGGTCGATATTCGAAGTAGGGAGGGGATGTAAGGATCACATATCCTTTGTGCCCCGACCAGCGCTTCAAAACCAAGCGTTCGGACGAAAGTCCAAACCAACCACGTGACTCACGGATGCGAACAAGCGTCACATTCGCATCCGAGTTACGAGGTTACATCCTTCGTCTCTTACTATCATTATCTCACTGTCGTCGACAACCAGCTCGCTCTCCCGCCTTCCTTACACGATACCCAGACATCTATAAACCTTCTTTCGTCACTATTCTCATAATCCCTCCCTTGACACACCGAAAACAGCCAAAACCAATACGAAATTCTCGTCATTCAGGTGCTCAACGTACTACACCATTACCACCAACCATTCAAAAACTTCTCGTACTCCATTTTATTATCGATGTTTCACCCTGTTAGGCTCAACGCCACCACTCTCCGTCTCACCAAATCATTCTTTTCGTTACAGCAAGGACCCTTACCCTATTTTCACAACTTAAATACACGCATGTACGCTCATTATGATTAGTCTTTGCTCCCCCGCTAGATTCACGCGCGCATTCCGTCCGAAACGTCCTCTCGTCAGAAGCCTCAGCACTCTCATTAGAAAAGTCTTTCATTATATTCGATCCCTTCTACTATCGGTTACTTCGACGATCCCCGTCGAACTCGCAGATAGCCTTACAGCAGCTCCAATGTGACTGTAGACATTTGACTAGCCATTGTTGGGGAAGCAGGCTTTGCCACTATACTTCTCAGATTCAAAATGTGAGTCGTCAGGAGGCAAAGCAAAATACTCTTACTAACCATTGGCACACAGTCGAGCATTAGACAGCAGTCACTGTTTGTTTTGCAACTGTCGAACACTTCTTTACATTTAACAGCCTTGACAGACATGATAGATGCCGAAAAAAAAAAAAGCAACAATAACGATGAGGAAGGAGCGACGCATTGTTTGTGTCTGGTGGTATGGGGTGGACGGTAGGAAGATGACTTACTTTATACTGTTGCGACAGTTGATGTTCAGTGTAGACTTGTCAGAACGAGCTTGCGTCGCATATGATCCTGGGCAGAGGTTGTCAGGCAGAACACGCCCTCTCCATTCATTTCGCTCATTTCATAATGCATTGAGTTGGCGACTCCCGATAGGAACACTCAACTCGAGCTCAGTTATTTTTCAATCTCTGCTCACACATTTGAGCAAAGGAATCACAAAAAGTCGACGCGAAGGATCTTGATGCGGCAAATCTCGGCGCACATCAGTAACTTGTAGGTGCTGTAAAATCTGAATGCTATGATCAGACCTCAGACCTTGATAACAGACTGAGAAAAGAGAGTATCGACGAGAGTCCGGTCATATAATCCTTGGTGTTCCAAACGCTCAAGCTCCGACAGTGGGACAAAGTTGGATGATCAACCACGCACACAATCGCAGTGTGTCAGAGCCAGACCCTCCCACCACGAAAGCAAAGCTTTCATGGTCAATCACTAAGTTCTACACTTCTCTCACCATTCTCATCTCATCTCATATCTCACAACCTCCAACACCACATGCACGAAATATGTTCATTCCATTCTACTAGAAATCGATTCACGACGGTATTTCGTCTTCATCCCACCCCTTCATCTTCACCCTTCCTAACGTATACGGCCTCCACTACAAAGTCGGTGCGATACAAAAGACAGTAGGTGTCTAGATAGAACGAACTCTGGTGAATTCTATTGTACATCAGTAAGGATGTGTTGTGAATGGTAAGCTATGACTTAGCCCCAGCCGAGTACAAGGGACTGGGGGAAAACGAAGAACGAACTGCAGTGAAAGCGTCTTTGTGTGGAGTAACCTAATATGGTGACTTCGCTGGCATAGTGAGCGAAAAAGTGACTATGTACTACGATCGCGATGAGAAGACAATTTGCAACCTGACATATTCCAATGCCAACATATGTACTACACTTATCATTGAACTCAGTGAAAGAGATCCTGTTACGACAAATTGGTGTACTATGTATGATTCATTGCAACGATTCAACATTCAAACTTGATGCAAGACGACGAAAGGCAGCCTGGCTTTTTAGTCTACTTTCGAAAGTGCTTGGTACAACAGCGATATCGGTATCTAGTCCTGTCTGATCCCACAATCCATGATTGTGAGAGTGTGGTCCACCCATTTCTTCATTCTGCATATCGAACCATGAGTCATTGATATGAAAGTAGACACTTGACTCACTGTAGCAGACTTTCACACGAGCATACTGACATCGGATGAGGTGAAAAAAGTGGGTCATCAAATGAAAATTGACGTGAAGCAAACTATTCATACTCACATCCATTCCACAGCTCAAGCCTGCACAGCAGTCATTTGTTGTTACGCAACCATCGAACTCGTTTTGACATGCACTGACAGACACGATAGATGTTGCCAAAGCAACAATAATGGCGAGGAAGGAGAAACACATTTCTTGTGTGAGGTGGTATGGACTACTGTCTCTTTGAGATGGGGTGGATGACTTGCCTTTATACTGTCGCCGCAGTCGATGCTCAGTATTGTATACTTGGTAGAATGGGCTGTTGGCACTTGGCAGGGTCATTAGGCAAATCTATCATCTCCATTCATTGTGTGATCACTGAGTTGGTGGCTCCTGATTCCCAGTGAAAACCGGTGTCTTAATAACCGAGGGTCTTATATAAAGTCGTGTAAATGTAATGACACCACAATTACACTTTGGATAAGACTGCTTGCCAGTCCTCGATTAACACGGTCTACGACTTTTCCTATTTTGTAGTAGATAATGTGTGAGTTCTTGGGAGGCTCGCTAAACTAATCTTTGTCAAGATCAACCTAGCCAGAGCTTTACTTTTCTTTATTGAAACTCAAATCTCTTGTCTAGGAATAAGCTTCTAGACACGTAATTCGGTTTCTGGAATGTATTTGCCTAGGAAATCTCCTTCTAGGCTCTGGACTTGGATACTGGAACTAGTGAGACGTGGTCTCAAATATACGAAATATGACCAAGATCGCTTGGTCTATGGACACCTGACTGTGAGACAATGGTCTCAAATATATGATATATGTTCAAGATCGCTTGAACAAAGGGGACTATAACTTGACCAAGATCGCTTGGTCTATGGGACTACTAGTGAGACGTGGTCTCAACAATATGATAGATGACTAAGATTGCTTAGTCAAAGGGCACAGAGCAATGAGACAAAGGGGTCTCAAAGACAATATATATGACCAAGAACGCTTGGTCTATGGCACTAATAAGTTTCTAAGGTAAGAAACTTATAATCTCAAGGGAATTCTTTTCCCTGCACTTGTCTCACTTCAAAGGGACTAACTTTGCAAGTGAAATATCTGAGAGGCAGATTGCTACAAATGGGAGATCATATTTTTTTGGGGGAGAATGGGCTCTCCTTATATACATTTTGTGTGGGAAAGTAACCTAGGTTCACAAACAATAAAAAATAAGGAGGACCAATCAAAATATTGGGTCAAACCCAATAAAAGAATAAAATACAAGTGAAAGATGGAGCTATGACATCATTGTGGAGCAGAACATTCTGGAATGTGGAGTAATGACATCATAATGACATCAAGAGTGACATCATTGTGGAGCAAAAGATTCCAGAACCTTCCATGAGTGAGTCAGAGTGAGTCATTGTGGAGCAGAATATTCTAGAAGGAAATGACATCATGAATGATGTCATTGCAGAGTAGAATAATCTAGAGCTTGATGACATAATATCTTTCAACAGAATACCTGCAGGAGTATCTGTGGAGTCTTATGACATCATACCCTATGGGTACAATTTTATGAAGTGTCAGGTGAGTCAAAGCATCCTAATGAAAAAGTAAAGTAAAGAAACACTAGAGAAAAGTAGGTAGCAAAAATAAGACAGTTGGCAGGAATTGAAACATGGTCTTTTTGGATAGGTTTTTTATAGGCTTTGTACTTTTCTCTATGGTTTTCTCTAGCCAAAGTGAATAAGCCAAAGGCAAGGCTATACCTTAACCTCCATTTCTCTTCTCACATCAACTAGGTCTAAATGTGATTCCCATCTCACATTAGACTTTTTCCGTCAAAACGTATTCAGATCATGAAACTTGGGGAAAACTGGAAATATGAACCATGGTTTGAAACCAAGGTATGGGTTGACTAGTCTGAGGACTAAGCTAACAGACTTTGTCTTTTGAGGGTCACCTAGTATTCATGTCCATGCATGATTCCCACATCATGCAGGACACCAGTCAGTGCGGGAGCACGTGAGAGCGTGCGAGAGTATTACACAAAGTGCCAAATCGTGTAGATAGAGTTGATAACCAATGGACGCCTGTTTTCTTGCGAGTGCAGCACATGCAAACACATCCACCTTGCGTGAACATTTGAACTCTGCATTCCCTTCGCATTTGTGTCGCAACTACACGGATTTCACGACTTTGCATTGCAATCACATTGCACTCACATCTTCAATTGCACTCAGGTTGTGTATACTCTGGCTTAGTTGATGCCTACGACTTACTGATCCTTCTTAGTACTAGGCCTATATCTACTAGGTACATATACTAGCTAATTCAACAAGCCTTTGTTTTCTCAATGGAATCATTCTTGGTCCGAAACTAGACCTATACGAGTGATACTATGTCCAACTTATATTGCTGTGTCTGTCGATGACACTTAGGGAGACATGTGCAAGTCAGGCGCACTACTTACTATGACCACCTGCGTGAAGCAGAGACTGACGAGGAATGCGAGCAAATCATTAATGCACAGGACGATCCTGAGGCCATCCAGCTGATTCGTAAATACCTGAGCAAGCGGTGTGCCAGTGCAACTCATGCTCCTCCTGGAAAACGCACTCGCACAGCCAGTCCACATGTATGTATGTTATTTTATTCAATGGTCGTGGGTTACAGATTAAGCGTGTAACTATTATGTATGGTGATCTTCACGCGGAGCAGTAAGTATATATGAGCCACTGTGACGGTGCAGACAACATCGAGTTATTGTTGTGGGGCCACGGCCCGGGGGCACGCGGGCTTGGTGCTGACCCCAAGGCTGCTCGATTTATTTACTCCGCGTTCACTTAGTGTAGTAGATTATTGACAAGCAGTCTTAAACCAGGGTAGGGACCGGTTTTTTGAAATGCTTGAGAAACATTTTGTTGTCCGCATTGACGTCAATCAGCACGATTTATATATTGACATCCGATTCCGCTGAGTCCGAAGATACCGAAGCCGGAGAGGAACGGGAGGAGGAGTAGAGGGTACGAGCGCAAGAAGTGTGCCGGGGATGGAAGGAACAGGGAGTACCTGTTGACGTCGGGACCAAAATGGTCCAAAGTAAATTTTTACCTTCAAAATAATTGAGAGCGCTTACCATATAAATACTAGCGCCCAACCGTTGCGAGCGTCTCAGTTCTTTCTAGAGACTGAGATGTGAGTCTACACCTTTACCGTTATTGTTACACATAACTGACTTAGCATAGTTGCTCTTACCTGTTAGGTACACGCTTCGTCAATATGAGTTCTTTCTAGAGACTGAGACTTGCTCTTACCTGTTAGATCCTTTCTATCCTGCTCTACCTCTAATCTCTAGAGGTTATGAGCCCTGCCATGACCGCCGATACTACGCTCCCCGCCAGCACGTCCACCTTGTTCAATGTCCCGAAGCTTGCCGAAGACAGCACGAACTGGATTACCTATAAGGAAAGAAGATCAACGGCAATCAGTGCCCGAGGTTTGATGCAATATCTAGACGGTCGTGCAGCCGAACCATTACCATTTGTCATAGATGAGAAAACGGGACTTCCACAGAAGTCCGATGGTTCGACACCTACCGAGAAGGAGATCGATGAGCGCGATAGACTCATGGATGAATACGACCAAAGAACTCACTGGTCAAGCAACAAATATTCAGTACTATTACTGATCGTCTACTCCTGCGCATACAGAAGTCCGCAGCTGCCTCAGAGGTCTGGGCAGAGATATGCCAGATCCACGAGGGTAAGACCGAGCTCGTCCAAATAGACCTGCGACGCCGTTTGCAGGACACCAGGTGCAAAGAGGGGGGAGATGTCAAAGCGCACTTCTCAGAAATGCTGCGCTTAAGAGAGTTATTAGTGGGCATGGGTGCAGCGGTACAAGACACTGACTTTCACGCGATCATCCTTGGCTCACTCCCAAAATCATACCGACCTCTCCTGTCATCTATTAATGTGGCCGCCAAAATCACCAAGGTCCCCTTGTCGTCCTACGAGCTCATCAATATCATTAGCGAAGAATATGAGCACCGCCTTCTCACAGACCGGTGCCCCTCCAAGAAGTCCAAAGACTCGGCCCTGTCAGCCAGGGAGAGCAGAGGAAAGGGCAAGGCATCATCAATGAGCAAAACGACGAACCCAGAGATCACTTGCTATAACTGCGACCGAAAAGGACACTATAAGTCCGATTGCTGGCGCCCAGGGGGAGGAAAAGAGGGCCAGGGGCCGAATCAGCAGAGCCATAAGGGGGAGAAGGGTGGGAAGCAGGCAGCAAATGCTGCTGCAGAGACGGAGCCCAAGGACGATGAATACGCCTTCATTACCTCAGACTTGGCAAGCGTTGCCAAAGACTTGATGGTACCCGTCGGCAAACGGGGAGCGATCGTCGACTCTGGGGCCACGTCCCACTTCTGCCCGGACTGAGAGAAGTTCCTCAACTTCGTGCCCATCAGCCCCCAAGATATTCATACGGCCGACGGCTCGACAGTGAGCGCGATCAGGCGTGGGGATGTGAAGGTGGAGCTACCGTTGGGTCAGAAACGCACGCCTGTCACCCTGAAGAACACATTGTACGCACCAAAGATGGTGTTCACCCTCATCTCCATGAACCAAATCACCCAGGCAGGCCTAGCGGTCCTGTTTGAAGGCCGAATGTGCCAGATCCTCTTGAAGGCACCTGAACACCAAGTCATTGCCAAGATCCCCCAGGTTCAAGGACTCTACAGCATAGCTGCAGGCCGTCAGAAACACCTTGCGAACATTGTGCAGATGAAACTCACCATTGTGGACCTCCACCGCGTCATGGGACATGCGTCCCAGCCAGCTGTCATGGACGCCATGAAGAAGGGCCTTATAACCGGTGTCCAGTTGGACACCAGCTCCACACCGGTGTTCTGCGACATCTGCGTTAAGGCCAAATCAGCGAGGAAGCCGTTCCCAGACGAGGCGACGACACGAGCACTCACCTACGGCGAACTCGTCCACACAGACTTGTGGGGCCCGGCGCAGACAGCCAGCATCAACGGGTCGCTGTATTACATCAGCTTCACCAATGACTACAGCAGGCAGACCCGCATTCAGTTCCTGAAACTGAAAAGTGAGGCACTTACCGCCTTCAAGGAGTATGAGGCATGGTTAGAACGCCAGAGGCCGGGCACCAAGCTGCAGAAAGTCCGTTCGGACTGAGGGGGAGAGTACCTGAGCGCAGAGTTCAATGAATACCTGCGTCAGCGTGGGATCGAGCGACAACTGACGGTCCACCACTCACCTCAACAGAACGGCGTGGCTGAGCACCTGAACCGCACGATCGTCGAACATGCGTGTGCGATGCTCCTGGCAAAAGACTTGCCAAAATTTCTGTGGGCTGAGGCCATCAACTATGCCACCTGGCTGAAAAATCGCTTACCGTCGAGGGCGACCCCTGGAACTACGCCCTACGAGCTTGTGCATCAGCGCAAGCCCAGCCTGGCCCATGCACACAAGTTTGGGGCTACCGTCTATGTCCACCTGTTGGAGGTGGGGAAGCTGGATGCGAAGGCGGAGGAGGCGGTTTTCATAGGGGTGGATGCTGAAAGCAAGGGTTACAGAGTGTACTGGCCCTCTAAAAGGCGAGTTTCCATAGAGAGAAACCTCACCTTTGCACCCTTAGGGGTGGTGGTTGCTGAAGATGTCCTGGACAAGGGGGAGTCCGCACCTGCGACCATGACTGCGACTGCTACTGCTACTACTACACCTGGGCAGCACGACTCACCATCCGCCCAGTCCATCTACCCACCACCTTCGACCATGAGATCCACCCGCGCCAGGGAACCGCCTGGCTACTACACCAAGCTCCAGAAGGGCCAGACGTCGAAGGAGACCGCCTCATTGGCGATGAAGAAGCTGTTAGAAGAAGCGTCAGAAGTAGACCTACTCGACGAAAAGGCTCACCTAGAGCTAGCCTTGGCGACCGTGGAGCCAGAGCCCACATTACAGCAGGCGCTGAATGGGCCGGACAGAGCAGAGTGGCAAGAGGCAGTTGACTACGAGATCAGCCAGTTAGAGAAGCTAGGCACGTGGGAAGTAACTGACTTACCTAGAGGTGCCAACGTCATACCGTGCCACTTCGTGCTGGCAACCAAACACGGACCGGACAGAGAGAAGCTCAAGCTTCGAGCGCACCTCGTGGCGAATGGACAACGGCAACAGTATGGCGTCGACTATTTTGACACCTTCGCACCCACCGCCAATATGATCACGATTCGAACGGCTCTGACAATGGCGGCTCAGAACGACTGGGAGATCCATCAAGTCGATATAAAAAGTGCGTACCTTTATGCTACTGTCCAGGAGGAAATCTACATGCGCGTGCCGCCAGGATACCTGAAGGAGGGCCAGAAGGGAAAAGTTTTGAGGTTGAGGAGGAGCCTGCCGGGGTTGAAACAGGCCGGGTTCGAGTGGGCGGAAGAGTTGGCAGGAGTCTTCAAGGATCTAGGGTTTACCCGGTCGAAAGTGGACCAGGCCGTTTACTACAAACGAGCTCCGAACGAGCATATCATCATCACTGTCTCTGTTGACGACATGGCCATCACCGCTAACCATATCTCCCACATACACCGCTTCAAGGAGGACCTTAAGCGATTCTTCAAGATCTCGGACCTGGGGGAGCTGAATTGGTTACTGGGGCTGAAGGTAACGAGAGACCAAGCAGGACGTACCTTAACCCTATCCCAGAAGGCCTACGTCGACACTGTCGTCGAATGGTTCTACCTAAATGAAGCCAAAAGTGCCCAAACGCCAATGGAGACCAGACTTACCTTGTCAGTTGAGCAGGGACCAGGAACCACTACGGAGCTGGAGGCTATGCGGGACGTACCATATCAGCGGGCCATCAGGTCGCTGATGTATGCAGCAACAAGCACCCGCCCGGACATAGCATTTGCAGTTGCAACGCTGTCCCAGTTTATGCGGAACCCAGGGAGAGCACACTGGGAGGCATGTAAGCAGACACTGCGCTACCTAAAAGGCACAAGTGAGTATGAACTCATCCTAGGCTCAACAGACGGAGGGCTCGAGGCATACATCGATGCTGATTGGGTGTCCCAGCCCCACAGGCACTCCATGAGCGGGTATATTGTCCTCCTGAATGGTGGTCCCGTCACCTGGAGCGCCCACAAGCAACCACTGATAGCCCTATCCACCGCAGAGGCTGAGTATATCGCCCTGACGAGTGTGGTACGTGAGCTACTTTACCTTCAGTTGCTGATCAGCGAACTCTACGACCCTGCCCCCCAACCAATTCCCATCTTCTGTGACAATCAGGCAGCCATAGCCCTCACAACGAATGGGAAGTTTCAGTCCCGCACTAAGCACATTGACCTCTGTTACCACTTCGTCCAATCCCACGTCAAGGACGGCATCTTCAAGCTCCACTATTGCCCCAGCGAGGACAACATAGCTGACGCCTTCACCAAGGCACTCCCTCGTCCACGCCTTCAGAAGCTACGCACGCGAATGAGCCTGGCTTGCACTCGAGGGGGAGTATTGACATCCAATTCTGCTGAGTCTGAAGATACCGAAGCCGGAGAGGAATGGGAGGAGGAGTAGAGGGTACGAGCGCAAGAAGTGTGCCGGGGACGGAAGGAACAGGGAGTACCTGTTGACGTCGGGACCAAAATGGTCCAAAGTAAATTTTTACCTTCAAAATAATTGAGAGCGCTTACCATATAAATACTAGCGCCCAACCGTTGCGAGCGTCTCAGTTCTTTCTAGAGACTGAGATGTGAGTCTACACCTTTACCGTTATTGTTACACATAACTGACTTAGCATAGTTGCTCTTACCTGTTAGGTACACGCTTCGTCAATATGAGTTCTTTCTAGAGACTGAGACTTGCTCTTACCTGTTAGATCCTTTCTATCCCGCTCTACCTCTAATCTCTAGATTATATTCTGCGGTGTTGGACATTGAATGAAGATGCACTACACAGCAAACACAGTTTGTACAATTGTGAGGTAAAAAAAATCGCGTTGAGGCGTCACTAGGAGGCCAGTGGATTTCACATACCGTACACAGTTAGCTACAAATTTTCTGTATCCAAAACGATTCGAAAAAGTGTTTCCCTCCTCCTGAAGGACCTGAACATTGCAGAGCCAGTGCCTCTTCCTTCTTGTGCTTTCGAGTTGAATGATCATCTACAGATGAAGACAAGGTTTGTGAGGAAATAAACGCATGTCAGCAATGAAGCTTTGAATTGGAATTTCTCATCATTTGGACTTATGCTCGTCCTGGGGCACGTCAGTGTCAAGTCAGAGCTCACTGGTAGCAGAGGGCGTGCCTGGAAACCCTTAAGCACATATTTCCATTCATCTATAGTGGTCTGTCTTCCAAGCTCTTCATAAGTACTTATTAAGTATTGGATTTTGGCGATTCAGACATTCGACTATTACTTCCATGAGGACCGAGGTGTTACGCGTCGTGCAACTTCATTCTCACGAGTCACCCATAAATCGACCATCTTAGTGGCGATAACCTCTGGCTCCGAGGTAACAAATTACAAAATACAAATTGAAGCTGAAATTGGGTGTACATATCCCGTAGGTATACAGTCTCAAAGTCTGGAACATCGAAGTCCTTGGCAGCAAGTTGCGTGTGGCAATGACTGGATGCTACATGCGAAGTCGTCAAGAATGCTTTAATCAACAAGGTAGGAAAACGCACGAAATTTATCATATACCAATGTGTACGAACACTATGCGCTGGTCCAAGGGCATGTCCGTGTCACAAGCCAATGACTGGACTGCTTGATGCAGCGCCCGGGCAGCTCGTTTGGAATTCATCGTGCCATCCCCGCAAAAGTTTTTGTAGAATGCTTCGACCAAGCGCTGCACAGTACTATCGTTAACCTTCCATAATGTCCCAACGACGCTCTTGACCCCAGCAAATTGCAGACCAGCCGCTAGATGTATCACTTCATCAGGTGTACTAAAGGTACCGACTGCGGTTTCACAGGCAGAAAGAAATGCAAATTCGTGACGAGACAGATCCGTTTGTGTGATGTCGAGCAGCGAAAGCGGCTGGTCGCGCATAAGAAAGGCCGACCTGAATGGTTCGTCAAATTTCTGTGTTCCATGACATGCAAGATGAAGCCAAGTATTGTCTCGCAATGAGCACAGTGCTCTCGATTTCCTGGCATCAACACTGGTTATCTTGGTAAAGGAAACAGTGGGGGGAGGGGGCAAAAGCCTCCGCACCAATTCCAGCTCAGGCTCCACAGCATCCAAAATGAAAGAGGCGCCGGCTGGGCAATCCTGACCAATGGCAACGAAGGGAACCGACGAGTACCTGTCATGACTTCCGCGAGCCTTGATTAGCGCGGTAAGTGATGGTGTGTATGAAGAGATATAGTGCCGCGAAAGGGAATTTCCCTTTGCCCTGTACTCGCCAGCAGCATGCAACGGCAAGAAATTGAAGAGAGACGTCGGGCACCACCATATTCGGGAACCTCGTGGTGCAAATCTGTCCAGATTCTCCACCACTGGGCAGACGACGACGTCCCACAACTCTCTCAAAGCTTTTATCAGCGCTGGTTGGTTCCCTTTAGGACCAGCCTCCTTTCCAACTGCCTTTCGGAGTGCGGGCACCAATTTGGCGAGTTTCTGCAAATCAGTGGGGAGTTGAATGCTAGTCGGAGGTTGCTTGTGCGGGATGATAATGGCATGGCAAGATGACTCGCTAGCAATGAGCACGATGATAGGCCCGCCACGAGCTGCATCTTGAAGATCGGAGAATAGGGGGGGAAGGAGGAAGCGAGAAAAGCCTTCGATCTTGCGGATTTCCTCTACAGTTCCATTCCAGTCCTCCACTATATAAGGCTGACGTTGAGTCCGATAAGGGAATTGCGTGGCTCGAGGCGATAGGACTGTTCTTAGGATCTGACGCGAGTTCGTAGTGGGGAAATCAACCAACGTTCAAAGTGAGTCTACAAGGCCGTATTTTATCTACAAAAGAGTAAGGGTCCTTGATTATTACGAACGTGAAGGTTCAGTGAGACGAAGAATGGTGGCGCTGAGCCTGACAGGGTAGGAATAACGGAAATGAGTAAGAGTATGTTAGTTTTTGAATGAAGGTAGTAATAGGGAGCTCGCCGTGCACAGGAATGACGAGAACCGTTGGGTATTTGACTGCTTTTGGGGCGAAGGAATGAAAATAAGAGAGAATGACGAGAGATAGTTTGGTGATAAGTCCAGGGTATAGTTATGAACGAGGGTGAAAGACCGAGCTCGTCGTTGAGCATAACGAGAAAGTGCTCAAAGCGGGTGGAGAGGTGATTAGCAAGGTTATGCAAACACTTGTACCGATCTGTGTGACCGACCGGGAATAAGGCCAGTCCTTCCCTTTGAAGTGCGATAGCCTCATCCAAGTCTTCGTCATTACCTCGGTGCTCAAAGCGGATGGCAAATCGAATCGCGAGGTCATTTAATGACATAAACCGATATGTGTGACCGACCGGGCGCAAGGTCAGTACTTCCGTGTTAAGTGTAATAGCCTCGTCCAAGTCTTCGCCGTTGCCCCGGTGCTCAAAGCGGGTGGAGAGTTTATTCGCAAGGTTATTTAATGATATGGACCGATCTGGGTGACCGACCGGGCGCAGGGCCAGCGCTTCCCTGAGAAGTGTGATAGCCTGATCCAAGTCTTTGTTATTGCCTCGACGCTTAAAGCGAGTCTGCAGCAGTATAGCCAGATTACCTAGCAATCCTCCTCGGTAAGCATGCCCGGTGGTGTAGTATCCCAGTGCATCATGATAAAGTGATATCACTTCATCTAAGGCACGCGGTTCATCTCTCTGCAAACACTGCTGTGCTCGATGAGCAAGTTCATTCAGCGATAACGGAACCATGGATACGGCGGACGGCTCCTGCCCAAGATCAGTCGCATCAATGCTTTCAGCAGAACGCAGAGCGTATGTTGCGATTACGATCAAAGCTGCTCTGTAGATGTGGCTGTCGGTTTGGCAGACGTTGAGGACTTCGCCCAGTAACTCTTTAGCTGCATCAGCATCCGTCCGAAATCCCCGTTTCGCAAAGCGAGAAGACAGAGCAATGGCAAGATGGAGTTGGGTGATGGGTCGATCTGGATGACCAATGGAACGCAAATCAAGTGCCTCTTGAAAAAGAGAGATAGATATGTCGAGGTCGAGGTATGTTCCGTTAGCTTGGCATCTAATAAACTTTGCGTTGGCTAGATTGAACAGTACCGCAGGGCGGTAGGGATGATCTATGGGGCAGAGATCCGAGGCCCGTTCAAAGTGGTTCATCGATTGGTCGAGATCGCTACTGTTCTGCGTCCTGCGGTATCGTGCAAGAAGACAATGTCCGTCATCCGTCATTAGTGCTAACGCATCCATATCGTGAGATTTAAGCTGCACGTTACAGCTCTCAGCATCAGAATGCCAGACTGCGTTGATCACTCACGGTAGTAAGGGGACAAATAACTGCTTCATCGTTTTGATCAGAATGTAGCTGCTGGACTGTCATGAACAGTGAAGTGCAAGCGGATACGACTTCCTCCTGCTTTGGCTGAAACATCATGGCTGTGATACTCGTTAGCATCTCTCAGGTGTTATTTCCCATAGACAATACTCACGATGCGATTTTGCGCTGCGATCCAGTAATTCTCTGACGGAGATCTCGAATGTGCGGAGGAGTTCTCCGTGACAGAGCATTGGACCCGATTCATATGAAGCATACACGCTGACCTGAACCTTGGAAGATGGCTCGCACGACCTCAAGTCTTCTCAATACCTGCAGGACAGACGGAGTGAAGGAGAACTTACAGAAAAATGTGCTCGTGCCATTCGACGACAGCCTGGTCTACGTGTGCAGCTTTATTGATTGTCTGACATTCAGCACCGTCAGCCTTGACAACCACATGAAAGCCAGCAGGGATCCGTCGGAGACCGAGAGTAAGATCAGTTGCGCGAATGGCTTGGAAATCGTCAATATGCGCTAAACAGATATTAATATTACACACCAGTAATGACGACTTGTTGCGCTCCACTGAGGTGGATCTCTCCCGGGTCCTGTGTGTGTTCTTGGTCGCTAAAATCCTCACCCAAAGCTAGGAGGGTATCATTGAAACCACGCGCTGTGAAAGTACATGACACATACAGTTGATGGCGACTTGTAGTGTTTCACCGGTCACGAGGTTTGTCTCTCCCGAATCCTGGGGTTGTTCTGTATTGCCTGGCTCCTCGCCTAAGGCTTGGAGGGTATCATCGAGCGGGTCTGGCACGGAGCCTGTCGCGAAACAAAACAGGAGAGTAATGACAAAATAAACTGTGGCCAGAATTGCTTTAGGAAATCAGTACGTGTGACGTGCTAAATGAAGATATATGTAACACATACTATTGACGACGACTTGTAGCATTTCAGTGACCACGAGTTCAGTGTCCTGGGGGCGTTCTGGGTGGCTCGGGACCTCTCCTAAGGGTGGAGGGCGGTCATTGAAATGGCCAGGGACGAATTTTGACATATAATAACTGAGGAGTGTATTCAAATCTCAAACCAACACCTAGTAAGAATAAGATGTGTGTTGGAGGTGATGAAAATACTGAAGCTGTGAGGTCTTGATGAAGTATAAGTGAGGGAATCACGGCATACATGGAGCTCATGGTACCTATTATCAGTCGGAGCTTACTCGGTTCTTTCGAGTTTCTCCAAACTCTGCAGTGGTCTGCACGGACAAGAAATCAAGTCAGGGAACCGATGTGAAGTCGAGTTCGTGCCAAGGCGTAGTATTAGTTTTACATATACGATGCAAAGTAATGCAGTATTAGATCCCTCTACTAGTCCAAGCCTACCTTAGGCCGCATTCAAGCTTCAAGCTTTGATGAAGTCCCAAATTTTAATACCACACCTGCTGTTCAATGCATGACTAATCAAAACCGTGCATGTCTCTTCTATCTGCCGCATGGACCTCAAAATGAAAATGAATGAATAGCCTCATGTCCTGGGCGTGCTGCGAAGCAGGATGAAATCACCTAGCCCATACATCTCTGCAGTTTCACCTACAATCACTCTACCACGTCTACCTCAGCGATCTCCAGTTAAATGTCTCAGCTCGCTCTAAGTCCCACACCCGTTCGAGAGTTCAAAGACCATGACGCACTGTCTGTGACTGCAGTCGTAGTTTTGCCTGAATAGGCAAAGAATGGTCACCAGCTCAAAGAAGATGCTTCGTATGTGGGACTTGAAGACAGGTGGAATGTTGAAGAAGATGGTGGGGCATTGCAGTGATGTTTGTGCATTGGCGGTATCACGAGATGGACAATTGATCGCAAGCGGTGATACCAACGGAGAAGTCATCGCCTGGCACGGAAACACTCTTGATCGATTGATCATATTCAAACCCCACTCTAGTCGGATCTACGCATTGGACTTTTCTCCTGATGGCACCGTGCTGGCAACTGGTTCAAAGGACTCAAAATTGTAGAGCACGAAAACTTGGATGCGACAAGGAAATCAAATAGATTGTGGTCGTTTTGTCCATTGCATCCGGTATTCGCCCTCTGGTGAATTTCTGGCGATTGCAACTGAGAGCGAAATCAAAATTTATGATCCAGATGCTGAGAGACGCGTTGCATACTTGAGGCAATCCAACTCAACGTCACTCGCGTGGACGCCTGATGGTACACACCTTTTCTCAATCAGTGGCAGTTCCACGGCTAGCCTTGATCCCGCTAGTATACTGGAGTGGGATGCATCGACCTGGAAGCAGGTCCGTGGTTATTGGACAGCTCATACTGGCGCAATCCACACCATGATTGCCATTGACCCTGCTGGCACACTTCTCGCTTCCACATCTTTTGATAATGTGCACCTCTGGTCGCTGCCAGATCGACGAAGCATCATCATATTCAAGCACTCCAAGTTTGTGCGTTGCGTCACCTTCTCGATGGATGGATCTCAGAGTGGGCAGTACCCGAGGATGTTTTGCCAAAGGAACAGGTAGCAAAGGTACTTTCTTCCTGATTTCCCGGTCCCTTCGTCATCTCAACTCGCATCTTTTGATTTCAAGGTTCAAGCCTCTGATTTGAAGACTTCCAATGTTGAACCATGTTGCACAAGTCGAGCATGCCACTTCCTTCATCAGATCCTAGCCATCGACCCCACAATCCACAATGTATGGATCACAGGGGACTTGACTACCGCAGAACAATTACTCACGCAAGAGATCGACGTCGATGCTAACAGCTATACCTCCTATGCCAACCGTTCATTCGTGATGGCGCGAAAACTCGACTGGGACCATGATTCAAGCAAGGCAAGTACGCTGGCATTCCTCATCGTGTCACCCTTAACGTTGATTGTGACACAGTCTGTTAGCATTCAACTTTCATTGGCAGGCTATGTCTCTAAGGGCATTGCCCTCTGCGGGAAAAAACAAGTCCGAGAAGCGATGACAGAATTTGATCTCGCATTCACGTCTACCAACGGAGATTCATTGACGACACAATTTCTTTTCTTGATCAAAGTAGGTAAATCTTTGGTTCATCTTCGATGTTTTATTAGAGGTTGTCAGGCCATCGCATTGTTCAATGCAAGAGCTAGCTGCCCGTCCCAATGCCGATCCTCTTGCTTCTCGCGTCGTGGAAGTAAGTATCATACACTTGACCAAGCGCAGCCTGAGGTTCGCATGCTCACTGATTGCTTTGTGCTTCGCACATCAGGCATATTTGCGAGTCCAGCTGGGAATAATTGCCATGGATAGCACCCTTTACAAAGAAGCTGTCGACCACTTTACTGCCGCCGTCAATGCTGGCGCTTTCTTTTCCAAGTCAGACATTCATTCTATGTATGAGGGTTTTGTCATGGTACATTGATATGACTCGACACAATCACAATTATCCACGCTAAACCTCGTGCCTGTGCAGCTTTTCGGCTGGGACCTCAAGTCCTTGTGGCAAATTGCAAACCAGCAACGATGCTACGCACTCATTCGGGGAGGTCAATTTGGAGCAGCACTCGACTCATATCGATACATGATGGGCATGAGTGATGAGCCTACGAAGGCCATCTTCCTTGCTTGGATTTCTAGTACGTCGTAGTCTTTCAGTAGTGATGTCACTCATGCTATGATTCTCACTCATGTTACCCTCAGCTCTCAACGAGGAATGGGAACTCCGTGTTGCCAATGAAAATGCTGCCCTCGCAACGAGTTGCTGCATCTTGAAAGAGGGAAATTGAGTAGTTTTCTTTTGTACATTAACATTATTAATACACTTGTACACACAAGTCGCTCTTTGTGCTCGTATTGATATGGATGAGGATGACACGGTGCAATATGTCAAGGCCAATATCACCGTATGCTTCGTTGAGTCGTCGAAAGACGTGCTTGATTCTTGCTGTGCAATCCGAGTTGATTTGTCTTCAGTTGCTGGTTGAATGCGGACTGGCTGTAGGATGATTGCAGTACAGTGAAGTTAAAAGTCCATCACAAGAATTATTCAGATATATCATTTTGCTCTCGTTCGCATGCACTTAACTCTGCGTTTAAAATCAGATTGTATTTGCGAGGAGTTGCACGATCTGTCACTTACAGGTATGTATGATGTATGATACCATGAAAATGCGATTATCAACGAACACTACTCGCAGATCACTGTGTCATAAAAATCATATAGCTACACTATGTCTAGGGTCTTGATGTCCATGATGTCAATTGAAGCCGTGTCTTTGACCTGTGCAATGATATGATGGTCTGATGCAATTCTCTTGTACTCTCCAACACGTTGCTGCGCTAGTAAAAGTGCGCTGAACTCCTGCCCAAGGTGAACCATCAAACGCAATGATCGCAAGTGAGCCTCCGAGTCAACTGACAATTCCTCTTCTCCGGGTAAACTACTGGACGACTCATCAGTGTCGTCTAATGCATGCTCGGACTCGGACCAATCATCTACACTCTCCACTTCGTCTGCAGAGACAGGCTGCTCTGCAAAGTCAGGTAGCTCGATGAGACGACGATCCCATGGACGGACAAGAAAGAATGTCTGTCGAGTGGGCCTTGTGCGCGAGAACTGAATTAACATCTCGTTCGTGGTGATAACCAAGTCCCGAAGCCCATCTGCTTTGACTCCATACGTGGGATGAGCAGCATGATCACGCCTCCGTCTGATTTCCGTGACACGGAATGCAATGCAAGGCAGATGGAGTCTGCAGTTTGCAAAGCGGGGAGTAGCCATGTTCTCAAGCAGGTTATACAGTTTCGAAGCCAAATCCACAGTCACAATGTTTCGCAATGAAGAGACCCTTGTCTGAATTTCATCTTCAGACAATGATGGCAGGGCGTATGGCGGGGCGGCATATGAGATAATGTCGGCCGGAAGGCAGCTATTGAACTCGGACGATTGTCCGACCCAATCTAGGGCAGTGATGTCGCCTGATCTAGCCACGATCTCCTGCAGGAGCCGCCCGAGCGCATTCTGCTTCTTCTCACCATAGATGACAGGTAGGTGGACACCGAAGATACCAAACAACGAGTACGCGATGTCTTCTTGCAAAGTAGTGACGCGTGATGACGCCCATTGCAGTTTCACTCGAGCGTCTCTCATCCCTGGACGGAATGAGATCAAGGCCCGCGAATCTATGCCCGTCGCACCCTCCAACTCCTCCATGATTGCAGGGGACTCTTTGTGATTGGAAGAGCGATCGTCAAGATATAATGACCAATCCTCCTGATAAAATCTAACAGCTTTCGGAGCGACAAATTCTTGAAAGGTCCATCCTCGTTTGTTCCAAACACTCCTTGCTAGTGCACCGCGCTGGGATGCAGGAGGGACATCGGATAGGTAGACGATGGTAAGCGCTGAGTGGCGGTACCAAACAAACATGGTGTTGATCGATTGTTGAAGTTCGACATTGTTGTTCTTATCGATGCAGCATGTATCCATCCATGCCCAGCGATACCTTGCATTACGAGCGACTTTGCAGAACGACTGCAGTTTTGCGATGCCTCCAAATCCTTCCAACTCGCGCACATCTTTATCCTGGATATTTTCCAGCAGCGCCTCCGTTTCGTCCCACCTGTGTGATAGCAGGACACAACGAAAGTACATCATTACCACTTCCTCGATGCGTTCCATTTGTAGATCTGAATGCTTTGTTGTGAATGACAAAAGCTCTTTGTACTCTGGACTTGTTTTGAACGAGTTTATCTGTGTTGTTCGGTCGCACAAAAGACCCGTATAGGTGTTGAGAAGACGAAGTGGGGCGTTGCTGAGTTCAATTGAGACTGCATTTTGAATAGCGTCTTCTACTTCGGATGGAGAGACATACTGCTGACGCAAATCTGCAGAACGAGATATGCATTTCAAGATTACGCAGGAGTGGTCTATGGCTTACCTCGTACCTGCGGGTCGGAAGAATTCTCCAACTTGGACAGCATGATTTTGAAGGTCTCGATTGCTTCGTCATAACGTTTCGCGCCATGCAGCGCTGTATGCGTCAACTCGTATCCAATGTGAGAAGAAGGATTGAGTTCGGTGACCTATGCATTGCCGAAGTTAACATAAACTGCGAAAACATGAATGTCATCGCACCTTCTGCGCATCGAGAAGCGCATCCTCCCATAGCATTCTTTCCAACCTTGCCTTGCTGCGATTCGCAAAGATGACGTCGGATGCAAAACCCAGGTCGATCACCGCCGAGCAGAGATCAATTACCTGGTCATACTTGCTTGCAGCAAGGGCAGCATCTCCAATGGCAAGACAGAGTGCACGGCATTCCTCCATGAAAGCTGAATAAATGCGGGTGAGGATTATAGCCTGCGCAACATTACGAACTCCAGACTTGCCTTTGGACCATTCGAGGCAGCTTGCCTTTGTTCTATCGTCGATATTGTCCATCATGCATTGGTATGATTTCAGGGCATCTTGAAGCTTACGTGCACGAAAGAGTGCATGACATCGTTTCTGGTGTGCAGTGAGCCACAACGATTTGAGATCCCAGCCAAAGAGCTGGATGAGACACTCAATATGAAAAACATTAGTTATGTACCATCTCAACGCACCACGATCAAATCCTCGTAAGTTTCATGAATATCTGATATATGGCTGGAGTTGAGAGCAGCAGTGAAATAGTCAGCAGCTTCACCGTGACGTCCGCCATCCAAGGCATTTATTCCGAGTTGAACACGTAGATATGCCTAATATGGGGAGATTGCAAAGGTCAGTCTTGATGGCACAGCGTGGCTGCACGAATCTTACTTCAACGATATGACATGCCTGAGTATCGGCATTTGGATAATTGTTAGTGAGCGCTTTGAGGAGCAGGTTTGCCTCGTCATGTTGATCTGCATTGAAGAGCGCAATAACCTGAAACACTGAATTAAGCAGAGTGTGTGAGGCAACTGTAACATACCTTAATCAAGAGCAGGAAATGAATTGTTTCTGAATTTTGGTCAGTGTATACGGATGCAACATCAAACGCTGCCCTCGCGCCCCAGATGTTGCCTTTTCCGCAGAGGGCGATGCCCGTGGAGATATAACCTATATATGAGGGCTGAATTCTGATGGACTGTATCACCATCTAGTTAGTCTTTTGTATGAGGACCATGATCAGTGCATATAACTCGCCTTGATTGCATCTTGAAGGGCGTGGTCCCAGTCATGTTTCCGGGCTAAAACAAATGAGCGATGGGCGTAGGCAGTGTGGTTGTTCACATTGGTGTTGATATCTTGCGTGAGCAGTTTTTCGGCAGTAGACAAGTCCCCAACTATGCATGCAATGCGAGCTGTCGTGATGGCTAAAATCTGCACCAAACATGCTTAATTTTTGGTATATGAGTCAAGAACAAAAACATGCCTTTGGATAGATACCCTGAGGTGCCCACTCTGAGATCATCTTATCGCCACCTCCGCTGAGGATGTGGTTGCCGTCCACGGAAAAAGTGACGCATACTGTCTGGGATGTGTGCTTGAAGGTAGCCATAGTTCGTCGATCTGAGAGCCGCCAAAGACGGACATGTCGGTCATCGGATACGGAGGCAACGAGTGTCCCAGCAGGATTTATGGCAATGGATGTGATTGCCATAGTGTGGCCAAGCCAGGGATCATCGACCTGCTTCCAGGTGGATGCATCCCATTCGTGTATGGTAGAATCGCTTTTGTCACCGCCTGTGAGGAGGCGTGTGCCATCAGGCGTCCACGCGAGTGACAAGTTCCTATGTGCGTGACCCTTGAAGGATGCGACACGTTCCTTCGTGTTTGGATTATAAATTTGGATATTATTGTCGGCTGCGATAGCAAGAAGTTCTCCATTATGAGAGGGCGAATACCGTACGCAGTTGACGTCACTATAACATTTTATATTTCCTTGCTGCCGCCAGGTTTGGGTGTTCCATAGCTTAGTCGTTTTGTCCTTTGAACCAGTGGCCAGCACTGTCCCATCAGGAGAAAAGTCCAGCGAGTTGATAGAACTGGTGTGGGCCGTCTTGATATTGGTGAGAGATTCACCAGTTTCTCCGTGCCAGACGATGATTTCTCCGTAAAAATGACCGCTTGCTACCAATTGGCCATCTCGTGATACCGCCAATCTCATCACCTCAGAGCAATGTCCCTCCATCTTCTTCAACATTTTACCTGTCTTCAAATCCCACAGACGAAGCGTCTTGTCCAATGAGCCCGTAACCATCAGTCGTTTATCGAGGAAAACTGCAACTGCCGTCACGCGTTCTTCATGGCCTTTGAACTCTCGTAGGGGTGTAGTGATGGGAATGAGCTCCGACATTTACTGGAGGTTGATGGCGTTGGGTGCGGTCGAGGAGGAGGACTTCGAGGGATTGTAGGTGTCTTTCTCTAACTTCCAGAGGTACATGCACTGTGCGTTTTATGCTGCCTGCCTCACTTTCATAGACGCCCAGGCACTGTTCGCCCCCACGCCCCCATATGTCTCCCACCCTTGCCTCTAAAGCTTCCAGAATGTACCCCAATGCACCCTATTGTCCTGCAACTGTCCTCTGCAGTGCATACATGCGCCTCACTCTTGTCGTCAAAGCTTCCAGAATGTATGCCATCGCATCCAATCGAGCAGTCGGTGTTCCCAGCGCTGCATGAATATCAGAATCATCGCCACACTGCCAATGCCCGCACCTCACTGCGAAGTCCCTCCGTCGTCTGCCGGATAAAAAATGCGAGCTCTCATAATCTTCAACAACTCAACGGAGTGCGGTGATTTGAAATGAGCTTCGACATCTTACTGAATGCCGATGATGTGGAGCACGTTGAGGTGGACTTTGGAGAGATTGTGGGTGTTTTTAGGCTATGCAGGCTCATGCGTTGTGCGTTTCTACACTACTTCACCCATTGACTTGCTTCTTGTTTCCATAGATACTCTAGTAAAACATGAACACCATTTACCTCCACCTCTCAGGTGAATGTGATCCCGCCATACGGGAGTCATGGAGGAAGCCATTGACTGGGAAGCAGGTCGGTGATATCACCCACGTCATAGCTATATGTTTATCCTGCTGGCCTGTGGTTGCTTCCACGTTTCATGGGCAGCTCTCAAATCGGCGAACCGCCGTCTTCTTCTCGCACTCTGTTTCGACGGCTTGTATAATCTTCTTCACGAAAGACACATTTTCAGCTGGGCTTTTGAGCTTTTGATAAGACTGGCCACTTTCAATGGACGCTTTGCTGGAGGGATACCCCACAGGGACTGCCATCAAAGGTACTTTCATGTGTGTACTTTCCTGCAGATTCCCGACCCCTTCGTCATCTCGTCTCGCGAAAGGACGCTTCGCATAAAGGTACTCGAGAGTGCTCGAGATAATACGATGGGAATCAATGTAAGTTGACACTAATTTCATCTTCCTCCAGTGGACATCAACGCCTATGTCCAGGGCTCAAATTTCTAATTTAGAGTCCTATTTCAACCATTGATTCGCATCACACAATTTGAGTATATTTCGTGCAGATCCTCGCTCCAGAGGTTAGAAGAACTCCTTTGGCTATATCTGGAAAGCTGTGGCAACGTGAGTTAGACCCATGTCCAGGCACTTGCATCGTCATCGTAAAGAAGTCGCTTATGATAACAGCCTCATGTCCTGGGCGTTTATAGACGCACGAGGCAAGCTAATGGATTAAATTCTCTCACCAAGCCCACCTTGGCTTCTAGTAAAATGGCGCTCCTTATCTCGAGCTCCACATCCGTTCGAACATTCGAAGATCAGGAGTCGGCGTATACTCAGTCGCAGTTTTCCCTCATGGTGAACGCGTGGTCTAGCCTTGTATCTTGAAACGTTTCACCTGTACAATTTGGGAAGGTAGGCGTCATGTAAAAATGATGAAGGGCCTCGTACATCATACATATCCCACTTCTCTCTCGCGTGGACACTCGATACACACGCCTTCCTCAGGGCCTCTGAGTCAGATCCCCGCATACGAGAGTGGGATACATCAACTTGGAAGGTCAGTGATCTATGGACAGGGCATACTAGTTGCTATTCATCAGCGGGACAGAGCACTCTGTAGCAAATCATGTTTCCCTGACGTTAATCCTGCAGGCGCCCTTGTCGCTTGCGTACCCGGTGACGACAAGACTCCTCCCGGGGATTTAATTTAATTTAATACCTCATGATGAATCACAGCAGATATAGTTCAAAATGCCATTACTTTGAGAACAATGGATGAAAATGACCGAAACTGCAACGATTCGCACGTCCAAGGGGGATGAGTCAAAGAGTGTGTGAGGAGGGAAAGCGTTAAATCGCAGTAGATGGCCCACCTTCGTTGGTTGAAGTAATTGGCAGGTAGAGTTCAGGGGTAATATCAACCTCAACTTGAATGACAAATTGCGATAATTAAATTAAACATTACAGGATAGAGTTCAAGTTGTTAGCCTTCCTCATCATTTTGTCATGCAATCACTGGCACGTCCACGTCAGTACTGATCAGAACTCTCGGATCCACATAAGTATGAATTTGATATGGATTGGCGACGAAAACTTTATCACTGTTATTCTCTGTCCAAAAGCTGCCGACATCTCATGGCCTTGCACCGTTCGATGTCGACGCAGATAAGTTTCGCATTGTCCGTGATATATGATTGTCGGCAACATAAGTAATATATACGTTCCCTAGCACCGAAGATAATGGTATATTACTGTAGGGGCGATACCCTGGCGCATCCTCGCGCCCAATGGCTGTAAATTAATTAACACATTAGATCGTCCATCCGCCGTGTCTTGAACCATCGTATGATAGATCAAACTCCAAACCTCGATTTCAGGTCCCCAGGCACCGATTGGGTACTAGGTTCATAGCAGTCGGTGTTCGCCACTTGGCTAATGCATGCCTCGTGGACGACGTCAAGTCATTACCAGAATTTGTTACTATCCGGGGACAACCCCTGTGCCATACGCAGCATCACAACGTTCGAGGTCAAGCTCGACCACTGTAACGAGACGGTCGTCAGTTGTGCATCAGCAACTAAGCTACAGCAACTCTTACCCCGTTCCCGATCAACACTTCAGATCTTTGAGCCACAAACATATCCAGCGCCTGCACCACATATTTCTGTTCCCATGTAATGTCGAGATCGCGGCTGCTCTTAATCTGGTCCCAGTCCCCAGAGCCCTTCAGAGCCTCCTTCAGCTCCTGAACCCAAGCAGGAACACCATTGGTCATGATATAGATATGCGTCAGTGGCTGTTCCGACTCGACGCGCACTTGTGTGACTTTCTCGACGATTTGTTCGATTGTGGGGAAACATCGCTGCATATACATCTGCATGTTCTTCTCTGATGTCTCTCCCCATCCACCATCAGTAGGCCTTTGGAACTGGTCGGAAAACTCAGGGAACATATTGAACGCATTCCAATTTGATGACCATTTCCCCAGGTGGACGCAATGGTCCTGGAAGTCACCCCTTCGCACGTGCAGCGCTAGGAGGCCAGGTATCGGGTTTGTGTAGTTTTCCGCGACAGATGAACCAGAGAGCCCTTTAAAAAGACTTGATCCCACATTCGGCACGAAGACGTGGCGATTTCGTCTGTATGCATCATGTATCAAAGGCGACCATCCCCAGCGCGACAATACCGGGGAATCCTTGAGATACTTCCATATAGACAGCATTCTCTTGTGTCCAAATATCCTACGCGACGTCTGGTGTCTTCCATTGGTCATCGAAAAGACGATGTATATGACTCACCAGTACTCGAAAATTGCATTATTATTTGCGTCGATTTCCACACAAGGGTCCTCAATCGAGTTAATTTTTTCGAGCCACTTTTCGAATATATACGAAGCCGGCACGCTTTCGTCGAATCGCATACGATCGTCATTCACATCCGCCACCTGAACGAATGTCGGATTGGGGCAGACTTTATTGAAGAAACTCTTAGACACCGCGCGAGGAGTGGGGTCCCCAGGTGGCATTTCACCACCTACCATGACGCCTAGAGCGATCGGAGTTAGTGATCATCGGGTATAGGCGGAAATTGACCATGTTATACTTGCCGCTCAATAGTGCTGTCAAGGGAATGCGAGAGGGGATTAAATGCCCGTTATAATCCGTAAAGAGTGAACCATCTGGATTCCAGATATAATCGTCGAATACGAAACTATACGTCATCGAAAAACAAAATTAGGAATGTGAGAACCGACAAAAGGAACGCATGTAAGAATGGGGACTGACGAGCGTCCTGTGGCATGCGCAAGCAGTCCATTCATAACATAGTCTTGCATTACATTACCCCATCCTGAGCCTGTACACGATCAACGCGTGATGGATCAAATGAAGGAAAGAGTCACCCACTATGTGCATGATTTGCTGACCAGAGGTATTTCACGTCCTTCCGTGTCTCGTACTCCTTGTAGTGCTCCAAATTTTCCTCCCGACCTCGATAGTCCTCGTACAATGGCGGTAGGTGGTCAGTGAAATAGTTCCGCACAGGTTCACGATAGTAGAATATTCCAGGGATTACGAAACACAATATGACGGCAAGGAGAAAACACCGTGTACCGCGCTTTGTCAAACCATAGGATGACATGAGGATGGAGGAAAAAGTCGTCGAGGATGAAAAGCGAAAAGCGTGCCAGCAGGGTTGATGCCCTGGACCGTCTGAAGAAACTAAACGAAGGGAAAGAGAATATGAATATACTCAAGAGAAGGACGTAAGGTCATACATTTAAGGACGGCTTAAAAGAGAATGCCGAACACGCTGCGCATCATGTGGGCATCTTGATCGTTTCAAGTCTGCTGCGGTGCCGTAATAGTGCGATATGGAGCGATCCGGTTTCTGATGGGCCAGTTGATCGATTTGAATTTTGTCCATATGCCTTGGAGTTAACAAGGCTAGCTGCGGGGCTGTTGCAAGTTATGGCCGTTTCATCAACTTGAACAATATCTGCGTACGATGATCGGTTTTACGAAGAAACGAGCTCGTCACGGCGAATCGGCATAACGTGAGTTATGAATCGCGCGTTTATAGCAAGGACCCAGAGTTTCCGACGGTTGAAAGAGAACCCCAGTGGATATCATGAAGGAATAACACACGAGTCCGCCTCGGCAACCATTGAAGCTGTGCTTCCAAATACAGCAGCAGTGGGAATAACCATTCTAATATTGATGATACAGCATGTACTCAACCAGACAACGCTAAATATGTCACATGAAGGGATAGTGCCAGCCAGCGAGAAGTGGTGTCAGTAAGTTACAAGTAAGTAATATGTATGTATCAGAAAATATCCATCATGATCCGCCCATCCGTCTCTGTAGGTATTGTGCTCTGGCCCTCTCCATTGATTCTCTAAGCTCTGGACTCTCCCAGGCGCTCATATCCTCTTTGAAGCTGCTTGTGATAGTAGCGCAGGCATCAATATTCATCGAAGATTCGCGAGCGATCGGACGAGGTGTACTGGGTACTGGCAACCTCGAAAAATCCTGGCGATTAGGCGAAACGTGCATAGTTTCGCCAATAAACTTGCGCTTCCTAGATAACGAGTCCGGAGAAGATGGTGAAGTGAAGGTCGAATAGGAGGGAGGTTGGATGTCACGAGGCCGATGCGTCCGGCGGAAGGAACCATGCCTAGAAATAGACGGACCTGTGACAGGTTGCTCTTCCTCCCAGTCACCTGAGCCATCATCCACCTCATCCTCCTTCGCTTCACTCATGACCACAACCTCTGTGTTGAGAGCTCTGTGCCCTTCTTGTATCAGCTTAGATAGTCTGTCGCCGATCCAGTCCATTTCGTCGGCCTCAGCCTCAGGTTCATCCTCATCTTGGTTTACATGAACGAAATCAAATTCTGGGGATAGATGACCCATGAGGGCAGGAGAGACACTACGCGACGGGGTAACCGGTCGACCGCGATTTCGCATTCTGCGGTTTCGTGTGCCGGAGCGACGAACAGAGGAAGGTGTTGGACGAGGTTTGCGCGATTTTGGAGTAGGAGGGGTAACTTGAATATGCTTATGTTGATAGTGTATCAATGACGAGACACGACACGTGACAAGGTGTACATACTTGTTCGGGGACCCAGTCACCCGGGTGGTATGGTGGTGGTAGTGGTTGTGGTTGTATTCGTTCTTGTTCCTTGCCTCGGTCCCGCCAGCTACGCTCGACAGCGATAAGTAATATTAACATTGAATTGTCATTCAGTACTCACAGGCGATATACAGTGAGACCAACAGCAGTCCCGATAAGAGCAGCGCTCAACGCTGTAGACACGATCGAACCAGCGAGAGTGCGACGCCGCTTAGCGGGTGGTAATTCTACATTTATTTCAATAACGATATCGAAATCGAAAAGCATGAATGAAAGTGGGTTGAAAGATGCAAGTAAAAAAGGAAGAGACATAAGCCCCAAATAAAAACTGTAAGCTGCGCGTGGACGGCACGTGGGTCGTGAGGCACTCAAACACATGGCGTGTGCATGGCGCGGCTATCGCTGCGAAAACATGTAATACTACGTCACGGATGATAGAGACACACCTGTAAACATATCTTCAACAAATTCCTGCTCAGGTGCTTCATGCACCATATCCCTGTACTTGGCGGGCGTGTCGAGATAACCGCGAGTAGATGCGGCGCTTGTGGCAGCTTGGCTGGGTTCAGGGATAGAAGGGATCCAACCGCGCTTGCGGTTTAGTGGTACAGATGGTGATAGTGATGGAGATGGAGATGGTGATGTGCGGCGGGGAGGAGGCAAGGCACGATTACGTCGAGAAATACTAGGATCAAGCAGTGCATCTTTCCTATCATTCCGGGACGGTTTTACTGCCGGTTGAGTGGTAAACGGATTGTGAAGACCCGGTACGCGAAAACTGAATGTAAATGGGAAAGGCATAGCAATTCGTATGAAGACAGATCATAAACCAGACAGCAGATAAGTACAAGAGAAAGAAAAGGAGCAGGATGTCCTCGCACGCAAGTATCGACAACTGCAAAAGTTGTGATTGTTCGTTCCACAATCCACCAACCACCAAGCCTGGGAACAATTTGCCTTTTTCATTTAAAAACCCCTATCAAGGTTAAATTCTATCGAAAAGTGAAGTGTAATATACAGATATGCACCAAATACGACGCATGACTTCCAGCCTTAGACAGACGTTAAGAAACACAATGAAAGTCATCACAGTATACCACCAGCGTTAGGAAAAACACGAATAACGTGTTGTTTGATGAATACAATGTGGCATCGTACAATATTTCCCGTTCTTCATGTCAGTCGTGTACAGTAATAACTGTGTAAAACGACCCGTTAGAGCTGGAAGACGCGTCGGTCGTCCCTTCGGTGGTTAATCTAATCGTAATGATAACGAGAGCAATGCCACCTGGGAATTGCCGACATAAGGTCGTTGAGCCAGCTGCATCTGGTATGCGCGCAGCTGTGCTCAGCACCATCAACCTCCAGTAAAATGTCGCACACCCCAATTACCATGCCCTTGCGACAGTTACCAGGCCATAAAGGAGGCGTAAATGCAGTCGCAATTTTCCCCGATAAACGACGGATGGTTACAGGCTCGGAGGACAAGACGCTTCGTATGTGGGACTTGAAGACAGGTGTTGTTTTGAAGCATATGGAAGGGCACCGCAGTGGGGTGTTGAGATTGGCAGTATCACGAGATGGACAATTGATATCGAGCGGTGATGAAGATGGAGAGGTCATTGTTTGGCACGGAGAAACTGGAAAACAACTCACCCAACCCATCAAAGCCCACTTCAAAGGGATCACCTCGCTGGATTTTTCTCCCGATGGAACGGTGCTGATCACTGGAGGTTCATGTGACGGAATGACGAGATTGTGGAATACCAAAACCTGGGAGCAGCAAGGAAATCCAATACAGGGTAGAAATGTCAATTGCGTACGGTATTCACCATCTGGAGAATTTCTTGCCGTTGCAGCATATGACAACGTCGAAATATACAATTCGAGCACGAGGGAACGCGTCGCGTCCTTCAAGGCTCACAAAGAATTGACCTTGTCACTTGCGTGGACGCCTGATGGCACACGCCTTCTCACAGGTGGCAGTTCGGGCGATGCTACCATGCGCGAATGGGATACGACAACGTGGAAGCAAGTCGGTGATCCCTGGACGGGCCACACTAGCCAAATAAATGCCATTACCATCCATCCTGCTGGCCAACTCGTCGCCTCCGCATCTGGTGACCGCCATATCCGTCTCTAGCGACTCTCAGATGGACACACCATTACCATCTTCAAGCACTCCTGGACGCAGCACTCCTGGACCCAATGTATCACTTTTTCCGTGGACGGCAACCGCATCCTCAGTGGAGGTTACGATAGGATAATCTCGGAGTGGGCAGTACCTCACAATATTCATCTGAAGGCATGTTTCCGTCCCGACTCACATATATACCACAATTCGAGCATATTTCGTGCAGATCCTGTCCATCACGGCAGCCCACGATGCATGCATAGATGGGGATTTATCTGCTGCCGAAGTTCTACTAACCCGAGATATCGACACCAATCCCAATAATCATATTTCCTACGCCCATCGCTCATTTGTTTTGGCGCAAAAACACGACTGGTACCTCGCCCTTCGGGATGCAATCAAAGTGAGAATTCACTGACCCCCATCATTTCCCCCTTAGTACGAAAGACTAACTCAACAGTGACAAAGTCAACCAGCATTCAGCCCTCATTGGTAGGCTATATATCTCCAAGGGTATTGCCCTCTGCGGAAATGGCCGTATCTCGGATGCGAGGGCAGCATTTGACGTTGCATCAATGTACACGGACCAAGATCCACAAATCCTCCATTTATTGCTCTTGATCAAAGTATGTTACATTTGCATCGCATAGTATCCGCCTCATCATTTCTCTCAGGCCATCGCGCTCTTCAATGCAGATCAATATGATGAAGCAAACGTGCTTCTTAAGGAACTCGCTACGGGTTGTCCAAATGCTGATACTCTCGCGTGTCTTGTCGTGCAAGTAAGTATTATCTACGCTCGGTCATCAACGCCAATCTTCTCAACTCGCACATTAGGCATATCTACGTGTTCAACTCGGACTCAAAGCCTTGGATGGCGCACGTCACGAGGAAGCCGCTGACTATTTCACTGCCGCTCTCGAGTTCGGCACTTTATCATCGAAAGTGAACGATCTCACTGTCAGAGTCACATCCCCAGTCTTGTACGGAATGACCCCAGAGGACTCCACTCAGAATCAAGAAAATGAAAAGGTATCATCGAAACCGGACATTCATGAAATTTACGAGGACTTCGTGGTGGTACGTTGATACACATCTGAAACACGTTTCATAATCAAGTAGCTTGTTCAGCTCTTCGGGTGGGATCTCAAATCTTTGTGGTTTACTGCACACCAGAAACGTTGCCATGCACTCTTTGAGGCAGGTAAACTTCAAGATGCCGTGAAATCATTCCGGTACATGATGTACAATATCGACGAAGCAACGAGGGTCAGCTGCTTTGAATGGTCTAACGGCAAGTCTGGAGTTTGTAGTGTCACGCAGGCTACAGGTCTCACCTCATTTCATTCAGCTTTCATGGAAGTATGCGGTACACTCTGTCTTACCAACGGAGATACTGCCCTCGCTGCAAACCGGTATGATAGGGCTTATGACCTATACTCGGCAGCGATCTACCTGGGTTATGTATCCGATGTCGTGTTCGCAAATCGCAGCAGGGCAAAGTTAGGGCAAATGCTATGGGAGGATGCCCTCCTGGATGCGCACAAGGTTCAATGACATTCATTGTTTTTTCGCCTATGCTCATCGTGGCAATACACAGGTCATCGAACTCAATCCTTCGTCTCACGTCGGATACCAATTGACGCATATAGCTCTGCATGGCGCGAAACGTTATGACGCAGCTATCAAGGCCTTCAAAACCATGTTGTCCAAGTTGGATGATTCTCCCGACCCGCAGATACGAGGTAAGCTATGTATCACTCCTGTATAATCTCAAAATACCTATCTCGTTCTGCAGATTTGCGTCAGCAGTATGTCTCTCCATCCGAAGCAGAAGACGCTATTCAAAGAGCTGTTTGGATTGAACTCGAACATGCCCCGCTACGTCTACTTGATACCTCCACGGGTCGTTTGTGTGATAGAGCGGCACAGTTAAACTCCTTCAAGACGAGTGTACAGTATAAGGAGGTTTTGTCGTTCACAACGAAGCGTTCAGACCTCCAAATGGACCGCATCAAGGAAGTGGTAGCGAAGTACTTCCGCTGCGTCCTACTATCACATAGATGGGAAGAGGCTGAGGTGCTACTGCACGACATCCAGAATAAAGATGTACGCGAGTTGAAGGGACTTGACGGCATCACGAAACTACAGTCGTTTTGCAGAGTCGCTCGCAATGCTGGGTATCGCTGGGCGTGGATGGACACATGCTGCATCGACAAGAGGAGCAATACCGAGGTTCAAGAATCAGTCAACTCCATGTTCGACTGGTACCGCCACTCAGCGCTTACCATCGTCTACCTATCTGATGTCCCTCCTTCATCCCAGCCCGGCGCACTGGCGGAGAGTGTCTGGAACACGCGAGGATGGACTTTTCAAGAGTTCGTCGCTCCAAAAGTTGTAATCTTCTACCAGAAGGATTGGTCATTATATCGTGGCGATCGCTCTCCAAACCACAAAGAGTCCCCTGAAATCATGAAGGAGTTGGAGGATGCGACGGGTATAGATGCACAAGCCCTAGTGACCTTCCGTCCAGGTTTGAGTGGGGCCCGAGACAAACTCCAATGGGCATCGAGACGCGTCACTACTTTGCAGGAAGACATTGCGTACTCATTGTTTGGCATATTCGGTGTCCACCTGCCTGTAATCTACGGCGAGAAGCAGAATGCTCTCGGGCGGCTCCTGCAGGAGATCGTAGCTCGTTCGGGGGACATCACTGTCCTCAACTGGATCGGACAACCCTCCGAGTTCAACAGCTGTCTTCCCGCTCATATTACCTCTTACACCTCTTCGCGCACCCATTCATGTTTGACTGAAGATCATATTCTCACACAAGTCTCTTGGCTGCGACAAATTGTGCCTGCAGATCTAGCTTTGAAAATTTTTCACCAGCTTGAACAGCTGAGAGCTCCTCGCTTTGCAAACTGCAGACTTCATCTGCCTTGCATTTCATTCCGTGTCACAGAAGTCAAACGGAGGCGTGGTCTAGTCAGGGAGAGTCTTATTACATATGAAATCAAGGCAGACGGGCTTCATGACCTGCAGATCAGCACTGAAAAGGTCCTACCTCAATTCTCGCGGACCAAGCCCATTCGGCAGACATTCTTACTTGTCCGTCCATGGGATCGCTATCTCCTTGGGGTACCTCAATTAGCAGATGATACGGAGAGCATAGGAGATTGTACCGAGCCCGGGTCCCCGACAGACGCCTCCCAGATGGACGACAGTTTTCCCGCAGAAGAGGAGCCTTACTCACGAGCGTTGCGGTTACTGGTTCGCCTCAGGCAGCCTTTCGACGCATTTTTGCTAGCGCAGCAGCATGTCGGAGAATACAAGAGGATCGCGTCAGACCATGAAATCATTGCACAAATCAAAGACATTACTTCGGTTTATAGTTTGGATGTCGGTACTGTAGAAATCCTCTAGCTACAAAAAGGAGTATGGTTAGGAGAAAGAGCATTTGCATGCGGAGTTCAGGTGGAACATGTTCCGTGAGATGTCCTCACATATGTTAGATGGTATCTGCAACAAATGCGAGAAACGCAAAAGAGTTGTCGTGCGGCTCGTGCCCCTTCATCTCATAAGTACCACATGATGTATTGGCTGAGCAAGTGAGCGATCAAACGAGAGACAAGAAGACACTGTGATTCGAGGTCGAACACGACAGCTACAGTATCAAGTGATGAGGAAAAAAAATGACCACAAAAACGTAAAGATAGCAAGCCATATAACCCACTCCTTCACAGTAATGGGAATTTCTACTCTCCAATCAGATGTTGAGGGCTATTAACTTTTGGGATCAACTGGGCTCATGGGTGCGATAGGAAAGATAGCAAGAAATTCATGCCCATCAAGGAGCTCACCCAAGCACCATGGACCCTTCTTCTTGTACTGTTCCAACACAGCTAAAGGCTCGGCATGGTCAACATAAAACTCGGTATACACAGATGAGATAGCTCTGTTGTTACAGTTGTCTTCGAAAAGTGTGCCCCTCAGTTGAGCAGCCTTCACATAGCTGATAGGCAAGGATTCCAAAACCCCCTTAGCATGTTCACGAATGAAGTCCAGATTGACATCTTTGATATTAGCAGCTTCATGATATTCGTATTTAATATCCAAATATGATGAGGATGATGACATTGATGTAGAAAGCTGATTCCCGCTGGGCTCAGCTAGTGTTGCGGAAGTCCGGTTTGGTCCGGTTCAGCAACAAATTTTGCGAACGCTGAACCGGACACCATGAACGTGTTCATGGTGTCCGGTTCACATCCGGTTCAGCATTCGAACATCAAACACATTGTAAATATACTCGATTGTACTATAGCTAGTAGTAAGGAGTACTGGTACACTACTGTGAAGCAGACTCGGAGGGGGTGATGCCGTCGATATCTGTCTCATGATCCATGTCAGTAGCTGCATCCGTAGTCACCCCATTATCCTGGTCTCCTTCACAGTCACTTTCCTCCTCAGAGCCCTCACTCGTGACCACTGACCTGCTAGCCTTGCATTTGCGCAAGACAGCGTTGTTGGGGTCAACAAGCTTGGGTGCAGGGCGTGGGATACAAGTCGAGTGATGTGCCTGAGTGGGAAGCACAGGCAGTGGAGTATCGTCATCGGGATCATTGTACCATCGGATTTGACTGGCATCGAGGAGAGTTCCATCTGCACCCAGACCACACTGGTCAGCCATGTTGTGAGGGGGAAAGCTTGAAGAGAGTTGAGCTTACCTTGAATTTGATCCATTTTAACTTCCATCGAGTTCATGAGTGCCGAACAATTCATGTAGCTACCCTAGAAAAAAAACAACCCATTAACAAATACATTAGCACTAAACCAAATTAACCAAAGTCTCCATACCTTATCAGGTTCTTCCTTTGTAATGTTTGGGTTAGTGGTAGGCAAACAAATCTTCACGGACCTTGCCAGTATGGCATGGTCCTTGTGAATCGGATTCCAAGCGAAAAAGTTGTGAGTAATCATGTCATGTTCAGTGTATTGCGTGTGTAGGTGATGTCATCTTGTATGTGTGAGTAGCCTAAAATGGAAGCAGTTCAAAAAGGTTCGGACACGTTCAAGGAATGCTGAACGCTGGACTGGACCATCGGTCCAGTTCAGCCTATACTCTGAACGTTGAACTGGACCGTGGTCCAGTCCACGAAAGGTCCAGTTCGAACCGCAGTTCAGAACCGAACCTCCGCATCACTAGGCTCAGCAGAAATCGTACTACCTAGACAACAAATATTTAGGTAGATCTTTAGCACGACCTAGTCTGCTATACTTGCAGAGCAAGTGCATTCAATCCTATAGGGGTAGCTGTTTGGTATTAGTTTTGATAGTTAGTTATCAATAGTAGGAAGATAATCTGAAGCTAAGAACTACTTGTCTGAAGGGAAACTGTCGGGTCCGAAAATATCGGAGTTGGGTCGGGTGTCGGACTATGTGTTGGACTGTCGGGAATGCGTCGGACAATAAAGGAATGTGTCGGAAGTGTGTCGGATTGTCAGTCAAATGAATGTTGGATGTGTCAGAATGTTTCGGAGAAAAAGAGCGGATAGATATTTTGCAATACAATAAAGTACTACTAATATCCAATGACTTCCATCCTACTACTGAGTAGGGAAAAGTAAGTAATGCAATAGGTAGGAAGTACTAGATATTAAATAGTGACCATGTAGAAATTCGGACTGCTATAGGCGAGAGTAGTAGCAATATTTTGGGTCCGAAATCCTATGTAATAGGACATGTGGTACTGCGGACCATGAGAAAACATGTAATAACGCTGTATACAATGCTTAGCAAGTCAAAAGGAGTAAATGTGCACCTAGTGGGGATAGATGCGACTGGACAGGACATAGGGAGGACTGGTGTGATGCGCAGGAATGTCGGGTTGGGATCGGACATGCGTTGGACTGTCGGAAAGTGCGTCAGGTCAGGATCGGACTGTCGGACTCGGGTTGGGGTAGTCGGAAGTGCGTCAGACAAATACTATTTGACATCAGTATCAAAATAGCTGGTTCCGAGCCCAGCGCCGCGACCATTGTTACATCGACTTACCAGCATATTTTGCCAAAGCATTACAAGCAGCAGGATGAGATGAGGCCAGACCAACAATGTTGACAGAGGAGAATAAGGTGTGGAACTTGAGAGTTTGCAGTAGCTGAGTCGCAATGTAACATTGACGGACTGCTTTATCGACAACAAGCTGGGTCACCCAGCCAACTTGGACAAAATCAGAAGGTGAGCTTTGGCAAGAAATTGTGAGAAAGCTACCTTTATGTTTACTGTAACCCCACACAGTAGCAAATGCATGACCATAGAGTTTGGGAGGCTCACTCTCGAGTGGATCAACCTGGATGTAGTAGGTTACCAGAAGAGTATTCTCTGGGTGAGATAAACATTGAGTTCATAGTTTTGCAGCAGTCATCTTGACTCTTTTCCCTGTGTAAAAGACTCAGCAATGGCCAAGAATCTGTGTCTTGATGACCAACCAGCCAAAGTATACTTTGAAATTGTACTTGCTTGATCACCCCAAATACCGTAGTCGGAGCTGAAGAGATCAGCACATGATTTCAGTGTATCTTCTGAGACCTTGCTGCCCACTGTTATCACAAAAGAACAGGAAGCTTTGGAGGCAGAAGTGGGGGGTAGGTATGGTCCCATCGCAGATTGAGAACAATATCAACCATCGGAAGTTGAAAGTATGTTGTTCTTATGTTGTTCGCCACTCTGGCCAGCCAGGGAGACCATTTTATGTGGTATGACTCGGAACTGAGTCCGTCGTTACATAACAACATGCAGGCAGCCAACAGTCCACATCTTTTGCAGACAGTACCTGAGTGCTGCAAAATATGTCACCCTTTTCATATGCATTCGCACTGAATATTTATAAATAATTATGATGTGCTTCAGCCCGTACGTTCACGAATCACGGTGTATGAGGCAAGTGCAGTTCATGTTAGTGGTGATGTAAACTAAGAGCGTGCTATTAATTATTGTACGTGTGTGCTATAAGTAATTGTGAAATAAACGAGGGGAAAGTAATAGTAAGACTTGCTTTTTACGTCGTAATCTCCAACAGTTAGCAGCATGCGAACTACCGTCGGGTTTCCTGCAAAAATGCTTCTTTACCACCGAATTTCATTTTCTCCATGTGACGGCATGAGATGCTCCAGAATTTGGGCAGAATCGGTGTGTGGACATGGACATGAAAACATACATACGTTTTTGCAATCCATGACATTCGGATTCATAAGCTATCGTCGGTTCCCTAGCATCACGATCGTGCTGAAGACGGAACATCGCAATTGAAGTGCCAGGTGCATACAGCTGCAGTCCGACACCCTGACTTTGGCGGGCATAGTTATGCCGACGAAGTGCCCTGGGAGTACTGGATCGACGAGTCCCCATCGCTCCAGTGATCAGATCACTGCCAATCTGAGGATCATTTTGTCATCGTCGAAGGCGCAATCTGAATGCATTCATAGATGCCCTTGACTGAGAGTCCAGGTAATCTTCGTAGAACCCTACGACGAACTCCTCGGCCTTGAACCCAAATCTATTGTATAGCAACTAGACAAATTTTAGAAATGTATGCCAACACCAATCACTAGTAAAAGCGCACCATCGCTGGATTATTAGCAGCTACGTGAAGTGTGATATCACTGTACGGATTGAGCATAATTAGGTGATATAGCATAGTACTGCAGAGATAAAGATCGTGAGCTATTATTATAATCCTCGAGAAATTCCAACATACGTTGCTATCTGACAATTATGCCAGCCTGCTCTGACGGCTAGATATGTGATGTATGTTTCCTGGGCCGAGCTCAAAAGAGCTACGCCGATGACAACTTTGCCATACATGGCAATCACCGAGCAACGCTCAGGGGAAGACTGAAGCAAGTCGCTGACTGTGAATTGCATGAGAGCAACTCATGAACATGAAGGGATATAACAGACCATCAATTCCATCCCAAAATACTCTAGCTAATAACTCATGTACCTGCGGGAGGTGTGACGGCTGCAGAGAGACGTAACGGATTGGAAGCGGATCTTCAAATGATTGAGATGATGCAGGGCTGATGATGAGATGAGAAGCGCAGTCATCCGAGTGAACAAGACCTACTGCGCGTATGAGTAGTGTTCTCGCACATCTGTCATCAGTTCCATCCAAGGAGATCTGGTTTCCCAATCTACTGCAACTAACCCTGAGTCTGTAGATAGTCTACGCCCACATAGGCGTGATAAGAAAGATGTTTCGTAAGGTGTCGTTCGGATAGATTTTAGTAAGTTAAGAATGCTTGATTGTGGCAGCTGAGGCGGTAATTGAGGGGGTAAGGAGGTCAAGGAATTGTGATCGACGAAGTCTAGCCCTTGAATACCTGACTGACACCTTTCCTGCCACACAAATTAAATTCTAGCCTCTGATTGACGTCTAAACCATGACTGCTTACCCGACGGAGTCGCAACTTTCTCAATATAGTTCCCTGTGCCGATGAAGGAAGAGCTGCCGCACCACACGCGGACGCATACTTTATTGCAGCCGACACCTCGTACCGAGACAAGGGTCGAAGAAGAGTGCCCTGCCTCCAGTTAGCTTCATTTTCCGTGTCAAAATAATACCCATACAAAGCTGTCCGTCCTGCAATCGCTGTCTTGTACCTGGCAGCGTACTTCCAAGCACTCTGGCAGCACAGGGCCCATAAGACGTTCAAAATCACTTGCTTCCTCCGGACCGTCACGGTTTGCTGGGTTATCAGACGTACAGCTCTCTATTCCAGTTTGAAACAAATTTTGCAAGTCATCGAGTGACATGGATGCCCTTGTAACACGCATGTTAGGAGAGGGGACTATGATCCTTCCTGAGTTGCCTTTTTGCCGTTTCGCTTGGGAGACGCCCTGCAAGTCGCGTCATAGGTGATTCATTCACTAGTGTGTGTCGTCTTACGAGCTCACCTCTGTATACGCCTCGTCCTCATACCTGGAAGACGCCTGGCGAAAAGGTGGCATGGCGGAATATAAAATAGTAGTATATGAGACATGCATACACTTTTGTCAAATTGTAGGGTAGATTTGCAGAGAAAAATTTTTGTCACTGATTGTTTATTTGCTACTCGGCCTAAATCTGAACATTTTCAACTCTCCTGGGGAACGAAGGTCGAGCACTACATAGTGAAGTCACTGAAGTGGCAACAGTAAAGCCACGGCAGTCAAAAGTTCAAATGACCGTATCACGCCGACGTCCCTGACTCCCCATCGAAGTTCAACAAACAGATATTTGCCTAAGTGAGGGAAGTGAAAACCAAAAGCGTTTTTCGTGAAATACAAGAGTATATGATATAAATCCAATAAGGTCCGTGCCAGATGTGAGAAGACGAAGGAGTGAAAATCAGTGGGTTCGATGATAATACTGATAGCGTGGAACACGTATGAAAGTAGCCAAAAAAATCAATCACAGTCTCGTAACGGCCTTTGAATCAAGTGGCATGCCTGTAAGACACAATGATGAATTCCCAAAAATTGCAAGGTTATATTGATGCTGACCTGACGGATCGATCCCATTGCGAGCAAGGATTTGGTTGTGGCGGATCAATCTTGCTTGGTCGAAACTGTGTGATTGAAGTTCTGATAAGCTACACCAGCCATGTAAACGAAACACTTACTTGACCCGTTGGGCACGCATGATGTCCAGCACCTCCTGCGTTCCCTGTTCGTCCAGTCCCGCTCGCGAATCTCCCTCGGCGATGTTGGCTGACTCGATATCGAACATCGGAGAGCTCAGCCCTGCACGTGCCTGATCAGAGAAAGAGGCAAGCGGCGTGTAGTGGTTAAGGCTTGGGAAGAAAGCCTTAACTCTCGTAGGAAGAGTTGCACGGTAGCGGTAGCCGACTGGGAGGAGCAAGTCAGTTTATGACCCATCGTCTGTTGCGAGTACTCACCCATCACCAGTGATGCCAGGACTGCGAGAAGTGAGAGGTAGAATAACATGCCAATTTATAGTGCTCCGCTTCGTAGGCCCGAGTTTGTTCGACAATAATAATGGCTTGTGAGAAGGTCGCTTGCTGTCGTCTTCGATAGAGACCTTGAGCTTGATGAACAAGCGCAGTACTACTAACGTTGCCACGTGCCGTAACCATGTGGCTGTGTGAACAATTAGGGGGCAGCCGTAAGCTTCCACTGGTCATTCCGGTACGTATACCCTTGATTGCAAGTAGACATGAATGTGATCCAGTACATTGCCCGCTAACACTTGCTCGAATTTCGGATGCTTCTGGTGCCCAAAACTTTTTCACAGGTGACGCAACGAATACCCCCATCACGTCCATAAAGTTCGACAGCATCACGTCTCTTCAAAATTTTCGTAAATATCGAGTAGGATCTTTGGCTCCGATTTGCCAAGGGCCCAGGCCCATCTGGGCACTTTATGTCATTGGAGAACGATACTTCATACTTGGTGTGCACCGTCCCCTTCCTCATGAAACTTTGTCTTCTGTTTCATGTCTCACGACCGATCATCATCCAGTCCTATTCCACATGTTGAACTCAATAACGGACAGTACTAACTCGTGCTGGAAGATGACCATTACGGTCTTCCACATTGCAATGATTCCATTGAAACTAGTAAGTGGCAGGAGCAAAGACGTAAGTATCTCGAATTTTGTTTTCTCAAGCTATATGCGAAACAAGAGCTCACCTTCACCCATTACTCAATGACGGAACTCCCCACGCATGTGAATAAGACATAATGCGATAGATACTCCACGAGACAGGCCATAAACCTCTAAGGATACAATGGGAATCAAGATCACAATCAGGTCAGTAGAAGTATTAATACACACATACAAGAACAGAGAAAAGAAAGGGAAGGAAGGTATAGATGAAACACGGATATACGACATACATGAATGTAAGATACAAATCCAAGAAAAATCGCATAAATAGTACCCATCGACCTGCGTACAAATAAAAATCAAGGCACACGCCATCGTTCCCGTCCCTGAACGACCAACCCTCCGTCCCACATTCTTACATCCCACCCCTTGTTCACCAGCGCACGGTGTACTGCGGGCTTCAACACGCCCACGCCCCCTACAGAGTGGGTACCGCGACCAGTAATAAGGCGAAGGGGGTATGCTATAGGACGGCGGTCGGGTCAATAGACACAGACACACAGCTCCATTCAGCAAAACGCCCGGTAACTAACGAGCAAAGCGTGACAACGCACTCACCAGGTGAACATCCCTCCTCCTCCAATATCTCAGTGGTGATCGTTATCGCCTCTTGAACACACGTCCCGTGTAGGTCGATGGATCTTTTGTCGTCAGAAGCGTATCTACAGGATACGTTAGTATGAATTTTGAGAGTATTAGGAAGAAATTCGAGATATGTGCATGTGGTAGAAGATAGAAAACCCACCTCTTCGCCTCAACTAACCCCCTTGCCTCATCCAACGCGTCCTTCCGCGCCTTCTCCGCAACTTCCCTCGCTCTCTGCGCATAGTACAACGCCACCTCCCCGCCCAATGGCCCCCGCCATGCTCGGCCCGCCTCGCGCAGCAGCTCGTCGCGCTGTATGCGCGCCTGAAGTATTCCACGCGCAAAGTGCGGATGCCGCGCCCCAGAGACGTTCCCTCCTGTCCCGCCTCCAGAGAGTTCTCTGATATCCCTCTTGTTGCCCTTGCTGAGTATATTGCCTGCGCCACGGAGTTTACGCTTGTTCGTAGGGTTGGAATTCTCCAGGGGCTGTGTGGTTCTGGGGGATCGAATCGGCACATCTTGCCATGACTCAGGGAGTTGAGGCTGTGTGTTAGGACTAGAAGGAGAGGATGCAGATTTCCGCTTCGATGATGGTGGAGGCTGTACAGGCGGGGGACCGGTTGGCAACTTTGCGCGTGCAGAGGTGGAATCTGAATTTGAGCCTGAAACTGGAGGTGGGAGGTGGTATATTCCTGCTTGGCATGCGGGATGCTCAAGATCACGCAGGATCCAAACAATATCTAGAGCATCATCCGGCCTGTTCTGTGCGGCAGAGAGTGCAACACGGGCGTCTGCGCACAGAGTTTCACGTTGTTCCGCATCAAAAGTGGCGAAAGTGGGCGAGGCTTGAAGGAGGTCGAGAAGGGCGTATAGTGTGTTATTTTCTGCGTCTTGATTAGATTTCTTGATAGGGGATTTTTTATCGGGTTTGTGTTTGATGTTGGTAGAAGTCGAAGGTAGGGCTACAAGAGCAGCGCGAAGGGCTTGCGCAGTTGTGGCGTGTGTCGGGGAGTGGAAAAAGGAGGCAAAATGTGACGGTGGGGTTGGAGGAAGTAGTGCGGCGAGGTGAGTAGAAAGTGAGGAGACTTGCATCCATATGTCCACACCCGTGCCCATAGTCAGCCCCTCCTTTTGCACCCCTTTCGTCTGGGGTGGAGAAGAGGGGGTGTGCTGCGTCTGCATCATATCCACAATTTTAATCGTACGGCCCTTGGCCTTCTTTTTTGTGGAAATGGCGAGCTTGGGTGTCGATTTCGGTTTCGTATGTGAAACGGTTTCCCAATCCCCATTGAGCAGTGGTGAGGGAGTGTCTTCAAGGGCATCAATTCCACGTTCCTCAAGGTCGCGGATATGTTCCATGTTCAAGATATACTCCACCACTCTTTCCATGTCAACATCTCCGTTCAGGGCTTCTCTACATTCTTCTTTCAGCAGGCGTTTGAGGCGTTCCTTGGGCACATCCGAGAAAGCCTCTGTCAAGAAGCCAAGTGGTGAGCTGAATGAGTGCTGAGATGACGATGATTCGCTTGCGGTTGTTGTACTGTCGCACAGGTCTGGAGTTGTGAGAGACGTAGTGGACATGATATCGTCTAGCTCCCACTCATCCTTCTGTGCCTGGTTTGAAAGAACCTCTAATGTATCTCGTATAGTCTTGACCTGGTCAGAGGAACAGGTGGTGTGGTCCCCTTCTCGCGCATGGTCTCCGACGATGGCTGCAAGAAGGGAGGTATCGATTTGAGGAAATTCAGCCTTTGTGGCCGAGTCATGATAGAAGATTCAGCATTGCAAATTAAGTGGCAAAATGGGGAAACGTACCTGTAAAGTATCATATAGGTCCATGGTAGTAGTCGTCTATAGTGTGGCAACACAAGGAGTTCAGGCGAAATGGATCGCATATACAGTGATGGTGTTGAATATAAGTGGATATCTGACATGCGGAAGGGGCGTGTTGCAATCCTATATAGAGCCTATCACAAGGCTATGTCAAGCGCTATTAAATGGTAATCAAATTCATCATCATGCAGGGGTCGATCGAACGACTGACTAAGAACCATGACGTCACGTGACACCGAGCGAGTTCAGTCTTCATGGTCCTTGACTCCTTGGGACTATAACCCGCTCACCGTTGTTCTCTAGCTTTGCTGTAGTCAGTCGGCGC